AGAAAAGAAGAGAAGTTCAGATTTATTAGGAAATAAGTACCTGCACTGGTGCACCTTTAATCTCTATTTCTTCCTTTCGCTTTATAGTTTCTACAAAAATGCATTTAAATTGCTTTTTATGTTGTTATTTTGGTATTATGTTGTGATGAAAGTTATTTTGTTGAGTAGAGCCCGGAAGGATGCCAAGAGATTACATGGTAAGGAAAACTATTATCCAAGAACTCTAAAAACCATTGTCAGTTTCAAAAGTTGAGGTTAGTATAATTACCATTCATCTTGCAACACTTGAATCCTGGTAAGTTTCTTCATTGCCCTTATTTTTATTAGTGTTGCATTTTGGTCCTTGAGTTGTAGGCGGGGCGTACCACATGGTACGCTTAGCATACTCATGCGAGGCGGGATCGGGACTCCGGACACGTACTCTGGGCGTACGTGTATGTATACAGGCCGTACGTGAATCATTTAGAAACCCTAATTTTTTGGGTTGGGCACTATATAAACATCATTATGGACCATGAAACCCTCATTTCTCAGCCTCTATTCTCCCTGTAGCCTCAAACATGAAACCCTGAGCCTCTCCTTTGTGTTTTGAGCTCATTGTGTTCATTTTGGTGTGTTTTGGTTCATATTCAATAAGTAGAAGCTTTGTGCAAGGTGGTGGTGTAACGTCCTGAAAACCATGATATAATTTTTTTTGTTTCTAGATCAATAAATCTTTTATACATATCCTTCCCATGAAAACAAGGTAACCAAAATTTAGCAAAACATTGTTAAATCAGAGTAATTCACATAATGTGGAAACATATGGTGTGTGCTTTGCAATCGTCCCGAGCTCTTCTTTTTGAAAAACCAAAGTACCTGAAACATAAACTGAAAGTCGTAAGCACAAAGCTTAGTGAGTTCCCCAAAAATACCACATACCAAATATACAAATGGGCCCAGCCTTGGGGTTCATTCCAACCCAAAAAGCAATTATGTGCCCCCCCGCCCTGGGGTGTATTTCAACCCGAACACATCACAGTGGACCCGCCCTTGGTTATATTTTAACCTGATCATAACATAGTGGGGCCCTACCCTAGGTTATATTTCAACCCAAACACACATGAAAAAGTCACAATGATAATTAGTACAATCCAATGGGTCGGCATTGGTGCCTTCGACCCATGAGTACAATGAAAAGACCACCTCAAGCACTACGCGAATAATCCTACATTGTTGTTGCTGCTGCGAACTAGCTCCCGAACTGAGCCAAACAACCAACACCATAATCAATATTTAAACAAGGCTAAACCCATGCACTAGGCCCAAAGATGGCCCAACTAACCAGGCCTACTAATGGCCCAAGCCGATTGGGCCCACTAAGGACTAAATCCATTGGGTCGCAAAAGGCCCAATAAGGTAAGCCCATAATCTAGTCCAAGGAGGAGTCCAATTCAAAAAGCAAATCCTCAGCCCAAGAAGTCCAACTCTCAAAGCCCAATACCCAAAACCAATGCCCAAAGTCCAAAATTTTCAAACGAGCCCAAAATAGCACTAGGCTATTTACGTTAGGCGTACTCATAGGTATGCTGGGCGTACTCCCAAAATCTTCAGTATGCGGGGGGCAATTTTAGTTACGTTGGGCGTAGTCGCGATTTCTCCAAAATCAACTTATGACTTAATTCCTTATGCACATAACCCCATAACCTCATGAAACCTTCGTAATAAGCTCTTAACTGATAAAGGTGGAAACTTTATCTATTTGCATGTCTTAATGGGACCCAACATCCAAATTAATCCTTTAAAATCAATAATAACCACCTTCACACATGCAAGGTCCATCCTTAAACATCAAGCAAGCATCTTTATGAACTAATAACCACAGAAATACTAAGAGTAGCAACTCAAAGCTGTTGGAGTGGTGTCAAAACACTAGATGTCACCCATGAGTTCAAAATGGGACCAAAACTCATATAATGTTAGATCTAAAGTTCTAATAAGCAAGGTTAGAGCTTTATACCTCTAATGAGTTGGAAATGGAGTAGATAGTCAAGATCCATAATCCTTTCCTTGATCCACCACCTTGCATCAAGCTTCTACTTCTTGAATATTCACTAAAACCCATCAAAGATGCACACAATGAGCTCATAACAATCTTGGAGGAGGCTAGGGTTCGAAATTAGGGTTTTAGGTGTAACATCCCGACTCCTAGGCATAAATTTAAATTGCTTTATATTTATATTGATAGGGAAACACGATGATTTGGAGGCCCCAACTCACCGAGTAGAGATTGAGATGGCCGTGTGGATTTTAGAACCAACTTGACGAGTTGGAGGGCCCAACTCGACGAGTTGGAGCTGAGTATGAAAATCATAATTTTTAGGGTTTGCACCCAATTTAAAGGACCTTAAGTCCTTTACCCCGCCTCCCTCATCACTTTATCACCCAGAGGCAAACCCTAATCGAGCTATCTTCTATGTTGAGAGTGTGTAAGGCTAAGAGTGTGTGTTTTGTTGCATTCCATGAAGGAATTTGAAGAGTAAAGGGCTTGGAACAAGAAGGAGTCTTTGGATCCGACTTCCATTCAGTTGTAGCAGTCATTTGAAAGTAAAAAGCCATTACCTTGATCACTTGTTTGTTAAATATCTCCATTAGAGAGTTTATGGCCATTTCTAGCTTCTTCTTGAGTCATTATTGGTTTTGAGCATGCTTTGAAGCTAAGACTTCAAATCTGGACACTACTAGGCCCTTTAGGCCTAGAGACTCAAGCTTTATCAAGCTTTGTCCAATCTTCATGCCTTAAACCCATTGTTGAGCCTTGGTTTGGCAAATTTAGTCCCTAAATTCCATGCATGGACGTAAAGCTTGTAGCTTT